GTAATGTCATTTTCCTTCAGGAGGGACATTGTCTGAGTAGCTTAGGTTTCTTTCTTTCTTCTTTCTTTCTTTCTTTCTTTCTTTCTTTCTTTCTTTCTTTCTTCCTTCCTTCCTTCCTTCCTTCCTTCCTTCCTTCCTTCCTTCCTTCCTTCCTTCCTTCCTTTCTTTCTTTCTTTCTTTCTTTCTTTCTTTCTTTCTTTCTTTCTTTCTTTCTTTCTAGATATATTTATTTATTATGTACACAGTGTGTTCTTCAGCCTGCATGTATGCCTGCAGGCCAGAAGAGGGCACCAGGTCTTGTTAAAGATGGTTATGAGCCACCATGTAGATACTGGGAATTGAACTCAGGACCTCTGGAAGAGCATCCAGTGCTCTTAACCTCTGAACTGTCTCTACTGCTGTGATAAAACACCATGACCAAAGCACCTTTGGAGGAAAGTGTTTATTTGGTTACATTTCCACAGCAAAGGAAATCAGAACAGTAACTGAAGCAGGCCCTGGCAGGAGGCAGGAGGCAGGAGGCAGGAGGCAGGAGGCAGGAGGCAGGAGGTCTTACAGAGGCCATGGAGGAGTCCTGCTTACTGGCTTGCTCATCATGGTTGCTCATTCTGGTTCCTTATAGACCCCAGGACCATCTGCCCAAGGATGGTACCGCCCACAGGAGGCTGGGTCCTCCTTTTTCAATCACTAATTTAGAAAGTACCCTGTGGCCAAATCTTATGGCAGCATTTTCTCAATTCAGGCTCCTTGTTTCAGATAAGTATAGCTTGTGTAAAGCTGACATAAAGCTAGCAAGCACATGGTCGATGGCCACCATGAAGCAGTGACTGTATGTCTTATAGAATACCTTTGGCTACAGTCACAGCAATGAAGTAAGTGGATCAGTAGATTGGTAGCTTGCTCCATGGTGCTGGTAATGAGACAGTTACAGTCTCCTGAGGGAAGGGGGATTATTTTTACAGCTCCATCTGAAATTCTAGTCTCCTCTTTTACTTGCCATAGATGCACATTACTTTACAGAGTACATAGGAGGTAGAATCTTGACTGGTGGTTTTACCCTGTCTGGGGAGAAGAGATATTTTTAATGTCTTCTTATGAAAGGTTAGGGAAATTTGAAACTGAATGCTGGCAAACTCTGAGTAGCCACAGCTTCATATTTATGATTATATGGAGGAATGAGCCACAGTCAGAGTGGCTCAGCAGATAGGAACAAATAAAAAGACCCACAGCCAGACATAACGCAGAGAATGTTAGATCCTGGAACAGTTACCCCGAAATGGGTGGTCTCCATCAAATTCCTTCCCTCAGGGCTCAGAGAACCCCAAAGAATAGGAGGCAGAAAGAAAGTAAAAGCCTGAGGGTGAAAAGTTTAAGTTAGCCTGGGTATAGTTAGCTTGAGTATAACTCCATTTTAAAATAAAGAGCCATCTTGACTGGGAGCTGAATTCAGGTACCAAGAAATATCACCTGGCAGAAATGTGCACCTGGCAGAAAACAAAGTTAACTCTCCTAGCAAGAGCCTCCAGGAAATACAACAGAATAAATGCTTCGTAGAAAATATAGACAAACTCCCTGGCAACAATCAATGAGAAGAAGTTGGGAATCAGGTGGAAAAATCCTCCCCAATGTTTCAGATATAGTTTGGAAAAATAACCATTGTGTCTTAGCCACTGTGACTGTGTGCCTCAGAAAAGATCACAACACTCCTTTAAACTTAACCCAATCCTGTAACACCAAAGCTTGTACCCCCTGTTTGCTGCCATGGAAACCCCCTGCTCACAGATTTTCCCTTTAAAAAAATCCTGTTCACTCAGAGCTCGGAGTCCCACATCTCTACTGCTGTATCAGTGAGACTTGGGTCCCGAGTTCGATCACTCTTGTAATAAAGCTCTCTTGCTATTTCATAGAGTCTTCTCCTGGTGGTCTCTGAGGGGGGTCCCGTGAACCTGGCATTACAAGGGTACAGAGGACAAGAATCCAAAGCCTTCTAAATCCACATGAGTAAAGCTTACATGAACTCACAGACACTGAAGCAGCATGCACAGTATGTGCACAGCTCTGTACCAAGTCTTCTGCCTTTATAGTACAGCTTTCAGTTTATTGCTTTTATGGGATTCCCAAGAGTGTGTGGGTCTCTGACTCTTGTGCATTTTTTTGAGCTCTTTTCTTTCTGTTGATTTTTCATGAGAGGGGTTTTGTTTTATTTTATATTTTATTGTAAAAGGAAGGAATGAATGAATGAGATTCTAGTCACAAGGGTGAGGGTTAATAGGCAAACTGTCATTTGTACCTGCTATGTGAGAGAGGATTGGTTTTCTTCAATGGGATGACAGGGCAAGTCAGCTGCTCCAAGGCAGCTCTTGTGTTCAGGAGTGGTTGACTAAGAGATGATAGAGTCCATTTATATGCTTGTATTCGGTTTCAGTTTGTGTGTTTATGTATTTATTTGAGATGCTGTGGTTTGGTTTCTGGGTTTTGGGGAATTCGGGTTTTGTTTTGTTTTTAGAGAAAGAACTTAAAGTTGGGTGGGTAGGTGAGGAACCAGCCAAACTCCATTTTGTTCCTGGGAGCTATTTTAAATCTGTAGCTATGTTTAGTTTCTGTTGACTATGAAACATGAGTCTCTTTTCTTATGGGACTGTGCTCCATCCCATAACCATGAAATGTTCTGTAACAAACTTTCCAGGAAGATTTCCTTAACTGTTTTGTCACATTCTAACTGCCTGGTTTGGCTTCTGCCACCACACTTGCTTGAAAAGATCTCCAAACTTGTGGTTTTGCCATATAAAAGAGGTATGGAAAATGGGCTCAGGGCTGGTCTCATGAACCCCACTTACGTGGAAGATAGTTGCCAACTCTGCTCTGATGTGTACACAAATAAAGCTTGGTTTAATTTGACCATGATTTGGGTCAATGGATCTAATTTAAGAAATTAAGCAGCGAATCTTGCAATGAAATGAATGTATAAATCAGTTCCTGCTGCAGCGCTTTGGTGATAAAGAGCTGGATGGGGCTGTGGAGAGCACCTGGGTGTTTACAGAGGGCAGCTGCACACAAGCCTCGGTCTGCTTCAGTCATCTCAGTGATTTATCCACGAATCCACATTTTTTAATCAACATAGAACTATAGGCAAATATAAAATGAAATTGTACTGTGTATTTGTTATCTAGTTTATCCTATACATCCAAGAGAACCACTAAGAATTTAACGCTAGGGGCTGCCGGGCCTTCCGCCCCACGTGTCTTTACCGCAATGCCCAAATCTAAGCGAGACAAGAAAGTTTCCCTAGCAAAAACTGCCAAGAAAGGCTTGGAACTGGAGCAGAACCTGATAGAAGAGATTTGGAAATGTGTGGACACCTACAAGTACCTCTTCATCCTCTCTGTGGCCAACAGGAGGAACAGCAAGCTGAAGGACATCGAAATGCCTGGACGCACAGCCAGATGTCCTTTGGCAAAAACAAGGTGATGATGGTGGCCTGGGGTAGAAGCCATCTGATGAATACGAAGACAACCTGCATCGGGTCAAGCAAGAAGTTGAGAGGCGAAGTTGGCCTCCATTTTACCAACTGCATGAACGAGGAGGTAAATGAGTGCTTGACCAAGTAAGTACACAGAAATGGATTTTTCTCCAGCTAGAAATAAAGCAACTTAACTGTGAGCCTGGATCTAGGGCCCCTAAAGCAGATCCCTCATTCCATGGAGCCACAGCAGAGGCAGCGGGGCCTGCCCACTACCCTCAAAAAAGGTGTGATGACCCTGATATCTGACTATGAAATATGCAAGGAGGGTGATGTGCCAACACCAGAGCAGGACTGTGTCCTGAAGCTTTTTGGGTATGAGATGGCTGAATTCAGAGTCACCATCAAATACATGTGGGATGCCCAGACCAGAAGATTGCAGCAAATGGACCTGCCTGAGAGTTTGCCTGAGTCTGAGGGAGAGTCGGAGGAGGATGGCAGCTGACTTTAGGACTTAGGCCTAAGGCCTTCTTCATGTCCACTGGACCACCAGGACTGCTGTTATCCCTCTGCAGAGAGCAGCTATTTATTGTGCTATGGATAAAGACAAGGGAGGATGCTAAGGAGTGACTTTGTTCCTATAAAGAATAAAATTTTGTGCGCAGGATGTTCCCTGCAGACTTCAGGAGAAAAACAAACAAACAAAACAAAACAAAACAAAAAAATCAACACTATATAAATGCACTGAAATGTTTCAGTTAATTTATCTCAGTCAATTAAGTTCTGTGACTGGTGCAGTAGAGACTGACTGAATGCACAGAACATGTCCTTCTTTCATAATCCTGTAAAAGCTTCTCTACTGATGGACACTTACAGACACTATGACACTGCCTAAAATAGCCATGGTACTAACAGCCAGCTCAGTGTCAGGAACAAGAAGAGGAATGGACAGACATGATTTAATCACTAAGAGTTTTGCTTCAATCTGACAAATTCACCTGCATGCTTGCAGTCATGATAAGAGTAAAACCAGTTTTCGAAATCCCAGCTGCTTTCTCAGTGCTGGAGAGAGAACTCAGCAGCTAAGAGCAACTGCTGTTCTTCCAGAGAACCCAGGCTCAATTTCCACCAATCATATTTTGCCTTAGAGCCATCTGTTTAACTCCAGTCATTCACAGGACATTTAATGCTGCCTTAGCAGCTCCAGGCACCAGTTATGGATGTGCTACGCAGACATAATTTGGGTAAACTTTTCATACACAACAAATGAACACAAATACAGAAGAGTGGAAAAAAAAAGCCCAAGTCCCTTCAAAAGAGTGGCAAGAATGAGAGAAATGAAGAGTGAAATTTCTGCTTCACTGTAATTGGCTGAGATTACTTTCAGTGCAAGGCTTGAGTCATCAAGAAGAGTGTCTGAGAAAAAACACATGCTGAAAGTGCTTTGTGGGATTTTGTCTTACCCACAGTATTGCAGAACTGAGTGTTCTTTCACACTTATTGAACAAATACATGATGGAAACATTTATCTCAGTTTCTCTCACTGAGCATACCAACAATCGGGGAGAAGTTTATCCCTGTGAATCAACACGAGGGGACTAAAAGTTGCATAACCAAGAGCCAGAAATTCTTGAATATTTACCATCAAAGAATTTTCTCCCAAAGAGAGACTTAAAATTAGAGAAAAGGCACAATCTGTCCAGTAGAAGAGAACAAAACAGAGCATGAGAAGGAGGACACTTTGAGCAGCTCTCAGCTCAGGGGGAGTTCTGTAGAGAAGCTTGGAGTTGTGAAGGTAGAGGACATGCTGGTGGTGTTTGTGGAGAAGAAATACCATGTAGCCACTGGCCCCTCCCATGACACCCTGAAACACTGCATCTCTCAGGATCATGAAGGTGAGGAAAATCCATTTTATTTTCTGACTTTCTAGCACAAAATAACAATATTTGTAGGCATACTTAAAATGAGATATATTCAGATTTGTACTTTTCATGGAAGGGATTAGGTTTGAACTTATTAAAGCATTGATTATCCAAAATAATAAGAAGAATGGAAGGACGTGCCATGCAGACTTTGGCCTGAGCCCCCTCCACCATGATGCTCTGGGACTGATGATGATGGCCTGGACCACAGTGAGGAGACTGGTGGTGCAGATGGAGAGGCCACGGGCCACCCTCTCCAGGTAAACAATGATCTTACAGCCCATGTCATCCAGGAAGTTTCTCAATCCAAAAGACGGTATTGTCTTTTGCAATCCTCTTGAAAGAAGGATTATGATGTTTGTAAAAGCCAAATGGATGAGAATAAGGTGTATGGGTTTTCTCTCAGAGCCTCCCAATAAACTGAACATATAATTCACAGAAACTGAAATGTTCCCAAGGGTGCCAAGCACAGTCATGAAGAGAAAAATTATTTCTTTAATAAACTTTAAAACCATTTTACTTCCTAGGTAAAAAAAAAAAAAAAAAAAAAAAAAAAAAAACTTGTTTCCAGGATACAAGGACGCAAACGGTTTTCCAAGAAAGTGTTAGTAAGGACAGACATGTATCTGAAAAACACATTTTGCGTAATACATTTTCTGCTGTGCAAGTGGCAGTGGTGGACACATGTGATGTTGCAGATTAGGTGCTTAAACTCCTCCTTTTACCCGTGGACGCTCAGGTTCTGTGTGTGCTCTGAAAGATCAGTTTGGCAACTGCTATTCAAATCTAACATTTTAAATAAGATTTTTTTAAATCTTTAAATAAGATTTTTTCTACACTAGCAAAATTGACTTGTTTAAATATGTAGCTTGCATCAGTCTGTCTACTTGTCTGTGTGTATGCATTATCCTTCTTAACTCTGAGCATAGTTGAGTTGAACTCCAAAAAATTTCTCCCTCTGTTTTTCATTCTATTTCATTGCATTTTCCCAGACATTTCCCAAATTTTGAGGCTGCTGCTTAACCTGTCTGCCTTTCCCACAACACACAGAGAGACATTGAGAAACACTGCTGTATTTCTAACCTCTAACATCTCTTAGATTTAGCAATATCTTCCACACTGCCTCCTCTTTTGTTTGATATTCTTTTCTTACTTGTGTCTGGACTAGTACAACAATTTTAGATTTGTATTTTCAAAATTGAAATTTATAATTTCAATTTCTATATCTTGGTATTTTAAAGATTTTTATATGTACCGTTCTGTGATTTTAACAGTTATCTTTTAAGGTAGTCTTCAATGTCAAGTCAAGGTGTTTAACCTTTGCAGATAGGGCCTTACAGTTAAAGCTAAATACTCAAAAGATATGCTGAAACATTCATGTAACCTCCAGGTTGGAGGCAGGAGGGGTGTCTCTAGGAACCCTGTGGTGCTTCCTAGGAGAGAGGTTAGCAGAGAGCTGTGATCCCAGTGGATGATTCAGGGCATCTGTGACCCCAGTGAGTGACCTCTGTGCATCTAAGGGAGCATGAAGCAGCTCTGGACAAGATGCTACTGATGGGGTGTTTGGAGAAAGGGGACTGATGAGGTGTGAAGTGCAGCCATGAGGTGAATGCAGTTTCTGAGTTCCAGGTTCTCTATATGGTTGTGTCTAGCACAGTAGTTTGGGGTGCAGCATTGTGAGCAGGGATTTCCCCATTGAAGAGGCTATGGGGGCATTTGTTTCTGTGGGGCCTTGTGAGTGCAATTGTGTCACTGTGCTTGCAGCCTGCTTCTCCTCCTCTTACCTGTTTACCGGGCAAGCTGCTTTGTTTACATCAGTTTGAGCTGACTTTAGAACTTAGACCTGGGCAGGTATAACTCATGTTTGAGAGCTCCTTTCTCCTTTCTCAGGGATTTACGGTAAGCTTTGGACACCTTTTCTAGAATAAGAGAAATCTGTGTATTTCAGAGGCTCTACGTGTTTGAGTGTATTCTGAGTAGTTGGAAAGTCTCTATTCCCTTTGCTCCCTCCTGTTAAACTTACGGGGTTGCTTTTAATCTCTATGTCCTGATGATCTAATGCATGACTCTCATGAACCCAGGGTGATGCTGTGTTTGTGTCCACAATCCTTATGAGTTTAGACTTATCATGTACTGCCTTTCAACTGCTCCTCTGAGAAAGAAGTAGTTATCACCTGTACCAGTGCATCCTGGAAATCACAATTTTATATTAAATATCTGCACATAATGAAATTTGATCCAGACATTAACAGCAAGCACACAAACATTTCTTAACATACTTAGTGTAGATATTAAGTGTTTAGAGATTAGAATCTATCAAAATCCCAGTAATAATCACCTGATGAAGATTATCAATTCCTGATGAAAAATATCAACATTTTCCTGCTGTTTTAATGCTTGTTTTTTTTTTTTTTTTTGAGATTCCCCCATTTTAGTTCTCATTTTCATTTTCCAAATGTCAAATCATATTTGAAAGCAGATTCTGATTTTTTAATACATGATTCCTTGCTACTGAAGTGGACAGTCAGAGGAAGGAAATGCAACTCCCCCCCCCCCCCCACACACACACATACTATCTTGGGAGATGGCATAGAAAATTAATTTAAAAGCCAGGATGGATCTGTATAAAGACAGATGAATGATCCCATGTTTGCATCTAACCTGAAAGAGCCTTAGGGCAGGTATATCCATTCATCATGGTTTTCTAAGAACAAGCACAGAAGCAAACAAACAAGCTCAAAAAGAGATTTTTGCTCTTTCCTGCTTTGTGTTGGATTAGAGTTAGGATGAGCTGTGTCAGCATGTGCTAGTTCGCAACCTGAATCCTTTATAACAAGAATTCTGAAGATGGCAATGGTAACTGTTTATATACTATATCCACAAGGCATGCAATGACTATAGTTGAGATAAGTATGTATAATATTATGTGGTGTACCTGAGAGACTTTAAGGATGGATCTGAAAGGAAAATCCTCAAATTGTGAGTCATAATGTTATTGTATAAGAAAACATGTGCCAATATTTGAAATTGGAAATGCATCAAAAGTAAAAATGACAAACTTTACAAACACTAGTCACACGTTGAAGTCACAATGCTGGTAAACATAGAGGCTGAAACAAGGGCTTTTGTTTTCTTTCATCTTGTTATATTTGAGAGTTTCCCTGTGAAAACAGGTGTAGCTTTGAACCGCAATTGTTTTGTTTCAATCTCTCTATTACTGATGTTACGGAGTGTGTCATAGTTGTCTCCAGTGTTTCATAGAGACCTGAAAATCTTCTATATCTTATTCCTTTAAGAAAGCAAGGGGATAACTTTAAGCAAATACCTACCCAGAGCTTTCATGATACTCAGTGATGTCTCAGCATTTCTGTTCCATTTCTGTATCTCCAGGAACTCATCTCCTTTGATCTTTCTGGAGCTAGGAAACAGCTTTGTCAGAGACAGAAGAAAAAGCAAAGGAAGGAAAGCAAAGTCCCAAAGCTTACAGCCTCTCAGATACTCCCTGGCTTAGTCAGAGAAAGACTTTAATGACATGGCACAGCTGATGGGATCGAAGATCTTACCTTCATGGACTCACCTGGACCTCTGAGGATCAGACATCTTCTGGAGCAGCTTTGGAAAGGTGACATTTGCCGGGTCATATTTGAACTGTCTGCACCTCTGGAGCTCTTGGCTGACATCAAGCATTCAAATTTTATGTTGTCACAGTGTCAGGAAGAAGGAAGGCCTCTGTAGGGTCCCAGTCCCTCAAGTATAGCTTTCCTCTCTTCCCAGTTACTACATCTGTTTTGCTCAGAAGTTATTTCAAGGTTAATTAGGCTTTAATTATTTTGAGAAGAAGGGTATGGGGTAACAGAATAAACAGCTAACCAAGTTTCTGTGTCCTGAGCTTCCTGCATCTCCAGACAGATTTTTATCATCTCCATGTCCCAGCCTGTGAACTGTCAAGGGACAGACTTCTGACACAAAGACTCAGTCTCTTCCTTCTCTTTTTTAAATTTCTTGTTAGACAGGAGTAGAAAGAAATGGTGCTAAGAATGGGATTCGACTTCCTGAGCAAGTTAAACATGGACCAGGATAAGCTTAGTGTTCCTTGTCTACCTATGTCCATCATTAGTGATGGTCTTTTTGTAACTGATTTATAACTTTTTGTAACTCCATTTATGCTGGGCATTTATCTTGGTAAACATCAGCAGTTTGTCTCTGACTTCAGTACCTTAAAGTTCCCAGTAAACCTGACTCAGAGTCCCCACCGAGAAATGTACAGCTATGACCATCTACTTGGTATGACTAACTGCTTTTGGTTTCTGTAACCTGGTTATGCAGACATTCAAGGACTATTTTGAGGTCACCTTGACTAAATAATCTTAGAAAAGCAAATCATCTCCTAACTTGTTTGTGCAGATGCTAAAGATCTTTTTGTGGTTTTACTTTAAATATTGTCCTTCACCTGTATACAAATGGCAATATCAAATTTGGCTCAAAGATTGTTGTCCTGGTGACAGCTTTAATAAATTATAGTCTGTACTGAGTCTGTATAGACTATTGGGGTGTAGACAGAAGTTTTGGGACCTTCTACCAATGCCAAGGAGTATCCTTGACCAAAAGTCGTCAGTTGTTTTTTCAATGTTTCTGAAGCCAACATGACAATTCTAACTGAAAACAAAGAAGAAAAAGATCAACTGCCAACCCTCAGCCTCGGGAGACTTGGGGCCTTTGGAGGCCAGGGTCCCTCACCTTTCCCATGTTCACACTAAAGATTCTGTTATGTCCACGTTTAGGACCAGTTGCTGCCCTGGCTACTCATAGATGTGTAAAAAATTCTAGATGGCAGGTGGAAATGAGAGACTCCCTCCCTGCATCTTGTCACCTTCGTCTTTCACAGAGACAGAGGATCCAGACCCTTCTCTTCAACCACCTCTCTTACCCATTCCTACCTCACAGCATCTCTGTCAAGGTGAAAGGCAGCTTCAGTCCACTGTGACATGAAGGACACTCACCTGCGGAGTCCGTGCAGGGCTCAGGGTGGGCGTCCTCAAGCACAGCAGACACTCTTTATCATCCCCGAGCCCTGTGCTCACATCAGCTGTCCCTGCTGATAGGATGTCACCATCAGGAGTTTGGCTTCTCCAGGGAAAAGGGCTCCTTCTGCACATCTCCATCCTGGACACCAGCTCTGCCTTCTCCCTGGGGCCCTGTCATTTGCTGAGCCAAAAACTTTCTGGTCCTAATTACAGTGCCTGAGTTTCCTGGATCCTGGGAATTTTCCCTCCTTTTTCCCCAAAGCCAGGAAATGAATTGGGAAAATTCTGAGAAAATGAAGTTTGCTTTCTATACATTTCAAAGCTTAATAACACTTTGTCTGGAGAGATGGCTCAGTGGTTAAGGGTAATTGTTGCTCCTGATGAGATCCTTGTTCAATTTCTGACACCTCCATGGTGGTTCACAAACATCTGTACATCTATTTCCAGGGCATACAGTGTCTTATTATGACCCATGGTACACACACATACATGCAAATCTGCATGAGATAGAATGAGTCAATCTAATAAAATAAACGTTTAAAGAAAAAAAAATGCAGTGACACCAAAACAGAAGATTTCCAAGGGACAGAGCCAGTGTCTGGTCTTATGCTGTGG